AGATAGATAGATAGATAGATAGATAGATAGATAGATAGATAGATAGATAGATAGATCGATAGATAGATAGATAGCTTGCTAGCTAGCTAGCTAGATAAATAGATATTTGTTTAGTAGTTTTATCTAGTTTAGGATTTTTATCTAGTAGATAAATGTTTTTGACCGCCCTGCCGACGACGGTCAGCTGCAGACTAAGGTTCGATCTCCAGCGCGGACGTGCGATGGTCAGCACAGGCACTTGGAGCGTTTCAATAAAATATAATGCTAAATAAATACGAAATCTATTTACTACCTAAGTCTTAATGTTTCTCTACTCTCTTTCGCCTATTATTGCCGACAATTTCCTGTAAATGCCGTGCAAATTCTCCTCTGCAATACACATGTACACCGCACGCACGCTGCCGCACACTGACACATGTATATATATATATATATATATATGATATTGTCGGCAATAATAGGCGAAAGAGAGTAAAGAAACATTAAAACTTTGGTAGTAAATAGATTTCGTATTTGTTTAGCATTATATTTTATTGAAACGCTCCAAGTGCCTGCGATGGTCAGGGCGCGCGACTCGCATATTTTCACGGCTAAATTAAAACAACGCCATCTACATATAGATCGTCGGAGGTTGCCAGCTGCTCTTGCCGCAGCCTGATGCAAGCGTGTTAGCGCGCGCCGCAGCAGCAGCGCATTCATGCGAAAATGCTGGCTTCCCACTCGCATCAAATATTAATCTTGGCGCGCCGACTCTGGGTTTGTGTCGATCCGGAGCGGTGCTACCAATCTTGAATTATCCACGACGTGAAGTTATTCTAGCTATGTAGTAGTGCTTGCTTTCGTAGCGCAAGAATAACAACGCGAAGTTCCGCTCTCCGATGGAACGCTGTTAACTATTGGGGGGGGGGGTGTTAGTTTCTAGCTATTAGTATATCCGTTCGTTGCTAGTAAATGCAAGCGTGTGGTAGGTGTAATATCACAATCGAACATGATGTGAAAGATTGCGGCGGATAGCGCGTGTGTGGCATTTACTAACTGTTTGCTAGCGCTGCGAGTGAGATATAGCGTTGGGAATTGAGAAATGGAAATGACGGCTTTCCGTGCGAAATGCCATACTTATATCGCGCGCAGCAAATAACAGGGAATTATTTAAAAGGTAAGCTCACGGACTGACAACGGCATTCAAACTTCGAGCAGACGGCTTCAACAAAATGTGATGGTGGCGGTGGTGGTGGTGGTGGTGGTGGTGTGTGTGTGTTGTTGATGTTAGTGTGTGCGTGCGTGCTGTGCGTGCGTGCGTGCCGTGTCGTGCGTGCCGTGCTGTGCGTGCGTGCGTGCGCGTGTGGTGTGTGTGGGTGTGCATGTGTCTGTGTGCGTGTATACGCGTGTATGTGGATGCGTATGTGCGCCTGTCTGTGTATCCGTGCGTGCATCTGTGAGTACCTGCGTTGTGTGTGTGTTTGTGTGTGTGTGTGTGTGTGTGTGTGTGTGTGTGTGTGTGTGTGTGTGTGTGTGTGTGTATGTGTACCTGCGTTGCGTGCGTGCGTATCTGCGTTGCGTGCGTGCGTTCGTGAGTGCGTGCTTGTGCGTGTCTATATACCTGCACATCGTGCCTATCAACGCAACAGAAACGTCACTTCTACCCGTGGCGATACAGCGACCTTCACACTAACAGGCACTTGGAGCGTTTCAATAAAATATAATGCTAAATAAATACGAAATTTATTTACTACCAAAGTCTTAATGTTTCTCTACTCTCTTTCACCTATTATTGCCGACAATTTCCTGTAAATGCCGTCCAAATGCTTATCTGCAACACACTGTCACACGCTGGCCGCCGCACGCTAGCTGCTGCACACTGACACATAAATATATATTTATCTGTCAGTGTGCAGCAGCTAGCGTGCGGTGTACTTGTGTGTTGCAGGTGAGCATTTGACAGGCATTTACAGATGATTATAGGCGAATAGAGAAACATTAAGACTTTGGTAGTAAATAAATTTCCTGTTTATTTAAATTTTTCATTTTTATTGAGACGTTCCCAGTGCCTGTGTTCACACTCACACACAGCGGTCATCTTCGCCATGCATGAATCACGCGCGCTGCGGGATGTTTATATTCAGACTGCGTACCTGCACAGCGTAAATTCAACCAATTTTAGTGGCCTGACCATCTCTCAATGCCGACGCATCATTCACTCGTGTACAGGTCTCTATTCATCGCAACCCTGCGAATATATTATTTAGCTGCCGTGACCCGCCCACGCCGCCAATCCGTAATAAATCTTGGATCCCAATTGCAGTCATTCATCACGCAGTCAGTCGTCTGATTACTCGAGCATACGTAATCGGAAGCACCATGCTAGAGATGTGCGCCACACAAAAATGGCAGCGATGTCGGTGGAGAAGGCTCCCCCTGACGTTTATAACCCCACTGTACGATCCCCATGTATCGATGT